GTCTGTGCAGTCCTGCCTAGTCCGCCATCTTGCCAGAACTCCTATGTTGGGCCTTTTTAGGCATCCAAGAAGTAGAAATTTTTTCCCTAGTCTATCACTATGTGTTAAATTTTTGGGAATATGACCCTCTTCACTGTTTGCTCTAGGTTCTTCTTTTATGCTCTATCATTGGAATAAATGAAACACCATACCAGCCCTAACTTCAGGAGAGTTTGTAATCTCAGATGAACTCGAGTACCTTCAGGCTCCCCCAGGAGGCCCGTTTAGTTCTAAATTTTGAAATGAGCCAATAAGAAGTTTGGTTTAGTTTATTTGTGGTGGAGCATTATCACCAAGATCTACTCATTTAATATGCAGAGCTAATTTTAATTTAGATTTTCTCTTAAGTCTCCGACCATGAAACAGATGCTTTTGGAATTTTTCTAAATGAAGGAAGACATACTTCACAGCAGTAATGATCATGTATAACACCTGTTTACACATTGATTATACTCTGGCAAAGTTTTTCATATATTTAGTGGTTGCTGTAGTCTTGAGTAGAGGGAAGATTGGGCAATCTACTTCCATAAGATACTGATAGTGCCTCGGAAACCCAGGAGGGGTCACTATGAGTCGAATTGACTCGATGGCAGTGAGTTTTTTGTTTTTGTTTGGTTTTATAGTCTTGAGCTATGCCTTCACTTAGCAACTATTATTCCTAGTACTATCTTCAGAAGTAGAGATTGAGGTGTATGGCCTGCACCTCTCACATTGTTCTGGGTGCTGTTAGATGGTCAGTAAATATATTTCAGTGAATTAGTATTGGAAAATAAAATTCTGTTTTTCATTTTTTTGTAATTTAATTTGAAATTTAGAAGTAGAGATACTGTTGCTTGCTTGTTGTTAACTTTGTTAGTGGGGTAAAAAGATTGAAAATGAATTAGAACATTGAATAATCTTTTCAAAATGTGTAAAAAGAGATATGAATGTATTTTATGTTCTTAGTGTTAAGGGTGGAATGTACAATTTTTTAAGGTTAATTTAAAATATATTAGAATTAATTTATAGATAACTTTCTAGGACTCTGTCCAGCAGAATTCATCTGTATTACTTAACATTGCTTAATTCTTGATATATTCTGTATGATTATGATTTTGCTTTATTTTTTAAGCAGAGAAAAATATTTAGCTTAATTATTTTATACAGGAGACAAATACTTTTTTTTTTTAAATATAATCAAGATTTGGAATATACTGTTTTTTTTTTTGGTAATTCTATTTTTGCTAATATTTGAGACAGTGTATAACTCTTGCCCATGCTTTATTTATGCAGAATATCCTCCGAATCCTAAATCTAGAACTCCAAGAATGCTGGTCATTAAGAAAGGTAATAAAAAAGACTTACAGCTTTCTGGATTCCCAGTAATGGGAAATCTTCAGTCACAGCCAGTTAAGAATGGGACCGGTCCAAGTGTTTATAAAGGCTTAGTCCCTAAACCTGCTGCTCCACCTACAAAAGTAAGTTCTGAATTGTTCAAAGTGCAAGTTTTGAGTTAATATCAGTTCATTTACTTTGTGAAAAGAATGTTAAAAATTTTACCAAAGTGGGCGGATGTTGGAGGGCTCTTGATCCCTATGTAGAAGAAATTGGCCCATTCATTGTGTGTCATTAGTTTTAATTATGTTTTAAGTGATGTGTATCATTTGGTTAATGATCTCTAACACTTTTTACTTGCTTTTCAGCTTTATGTTTTTGAAAACTCCCACTTGTGATTTCTTAATATTGGATAAGAGAAATCTAACTAGATTTCTAAAGCTTAAAAATAAATGGCAACTTAGTCACATTTTTGTTTGATACCAAACTTTGTTTTTGTAGAAAAAGGAGGAAAAGAAAAGGGAACCATGTAGGAATGAATACAAGAAGTATTGCAGAAATAATTTTCGAGCTAAATGTGATTACCTTTTCTAGTCACTTTTGCCCTCCTTTTCTTCCCCTTTAATCTTTTTTTGATGGCTATTAATGTTTGTGTGTTTTTCTTTAGCCTGCACAATGGAAAAGCCAAACTAAAGAAAATAAAGTTGGAACTTCTTTCTCTCATGAGTCTACATATGGTGTTGGCAACTTTAATACCTTCAAATCAACTGCTAAGAATTTTAGTCCATCAACAAATTCAGTGAAAGAGGTATGGCATCAGCAGTTACTACTGAGGAATGTATTATATTTTAATTATGGTAATTTAATTAGCAGTGAATAAAGGTATACAATGATGAAGTAAATACATTGATATGAGATATTTTAGTGCTTTCAATTTCAGAATTTCAGCTTAATCTTCAGAATTTAAAGTGTACATCCTTTCTTTGCTCATATTTGGCTTTTGAGAAAGAATGCTTTTTTAAATATGTAATGAAAATTCCCAAACATTTTAAAAAGCAGAGAAAAATAATAATGGAGAATATTCATATACTATTCAATCAGAAATAATAATTATTAAGAAAATAATTGCTATGAAAATTGCATCAATTTCCATTTTTGAAATTTATGCTTGGCTAATGTTGAAGATTCATAGTGCATGATCCTCTTCTTTTGACTGTGATACATGTTTTATTAGTGTTAAGAATAAGTTGGAGGAGAAGAACACAATGAGGAGAAGGTGCGTATCATTACTGTACTGACTGTGCATATATATAGCTTAGGTATCTCTTTCTCATTTGCCCAGGTAGACCCTGGTGACCATATCTGAAATTGCTTATGGGTACCATATTGAAACTTCACAAATCCTTTTATACAATTTCTTTTTTAAAATAGTATCTTTTTGATTGAAAGTTGACACAGCTAGTGAAGTTCCTGTTTAAATATTACTATATAGGTTGTTCATTGACCTTGGTTACATTTTCCACAACGTGTTAATATTCTCAGTAATTCCATTTTGGATGTTTCAGTTCCAGAAATCAAGTTTCCCTGTCCCATTACCATTTCTTCTTTACATTAGAGTAATTGTTGACCATTGGTCTTATATGGATGATTTTTAAAGGTGACCTCAGTGTACTTTTGGTTCAAGGTTTATGGAGTTCATAAATTTTATAGAGTTTATAGTTCAGGATGATAGTCTCAGGCACTCCTATAGCTTCAAGCTGTCTAGTACGTCTGGACTCTTTAAGAATTTGAGTTCTGTTCTTTATTTTTTCCCTTTCTTTAAAGATCCATCTATTGTAACCCTGATCAGTCATTAGTCACAGCCAGGCACCATATAGTTCTTCTGGTCTCGTGGTAGATAACGCCATGGTTTTGTGTAGATTATTTCTGAGTAATAGGCCCAGTTGTAGAATTTTAAAATTGTGAGAGAAGGACCTTAGGTTGGTAGGTATTCCCAGCTGATTTATTGTGGCTTAGATTCCTTGTACCTGGAGAGGACATCATGCTTGGTGAACCCCAGAGGGTTAGTGAAAAAGAGGAAGACTCTCAATAAAAGATGAATTATGGATCGACATGGTGGCCACAACAGTGGGCGCAAATACAGCAGTGATTAAGTGTCCTCCTTTCTCTTCCTGTTCCTCCCAGAAAGATTTCCCCTGTTGAAATCCTACCCTACCAACCCGATGTGTGTATGTGTATAAATAATAAAATAGATTATAATGTGCTGTTATTATACCCTAGAACTCTTTGGAACACAATTTGAAAACTGCTATTCTATGCATTACAGTATTAGCAGAAATATTTAAACAGTTCCAGGATCAATGTTATAAAATAGTATTCAAATACTTAGAAATCATAGTATCACCCAACCTTCATTGCTTCTGCATTGTTGCTATGGAGTGTGGAAATAAAGTACATACGACAGCTATTTAGTTGTTCCCTGGCTATGTATTTATTGACATTTCTGAATTTTCTCTTAGTGTAATCGCTCAAATTCCTCTTCACCTGTTGACAAACTTAATCAGCAGCCTCGTCTAACCAAACTGACACGAATGCGTACTGATAAGAAGAGTGAATTTTTGAAAGCATTGAAAAGGGACAGAGTAGAAGAGGAACATGAAGATGAAAGCCAAGCTGGCTCAGAGAAGGTAATTGAACTTGAGGTAACTCTTGGTTTGATAATAACATCATTGTAATACTTGATTGGATATCATTTTGGACCTTTGCATAAATAAATCCAAATTTTATCTAAAATTATTAAATCTGAAGCTAATTATTTATATAAATAGTGGTTTCCTTCTTAGATTTTTTCATTCTATAGGTCCTATGCATAAATAAATTTTAGAAAAGTCTTGTTCATATTTGTTTTGTTTTGTTTTTGTCATGTTGCCTCCCTTCATCCTTTTGGTTTTGCTTTTGTTGCATAGATGTGAGTAGATTGTGTTTAAAAAATGAAAACATAGACTAGAAAGCTGTGATACCCTTGCCAGCTATTTTCACACTCTTAAGAGAATGCATCCTAAATTTAATGATTGTGTTAAAGTCTATATATTATCTGTGAGACTTTAGGTAGAATCTATTAAAGTTTTCAATAACTATAAAGAATCTTCTTACTTCCTGACGTAATTAGATTCCAAAGTTAGGCCATTGCACAATATCAGTGTTAGGTCATCCCATCCCTGGCATTGGTTATGCCTGCGGCTACATCCATTCCCACTCCTTACCCCCAATCACCCAAGTCATTCACTGTGCATTGGATGCAAATGGTGTCATCTCCTTTCTCAGAACCACTGGGAGCTTGCATGAGTGGTGGAGGTAGTGGTTGGGTGTTGGCTGGAGCTCACCCTGTGCACAAAAGACTCTGCTAGTCCTCTGCTTGCTAACTTCTGCTTCCTGCCTGGGTAGGGATACCTCTCATCCTCCATCTGCCCCAGTGCCCCCTCACTAACCTCCCAGCACCTTCTGGCTTTAACCAGCCTTCTCTTGCCTGTCTGTGACCTTGCATCTTCCCACTGTTGCCTCACGCCCTCCGTGGCCAGACTGAGATGTCACAGATAAACAGGTTAAAGCATCCCTTGACCAGTCAGCAGTCATCCCTCCTGTGTCCTGGTTGTCTCCATGGCCGCTGGTGTATTGTTCATCATGGCCTGGGGAGGGCACTCTGGGACTGGCTGCAACCCTACATGTGGACAAGACCATCAGAGGCACTGCCTGAGAATTTTTTCAAAGTTGGCATAAATGCAAAATGTCACGTGAGATAATCGATAAGTAAGGAGTAGATACATTCCTTAGAACTCAATTTTTTTTAATCTCCCTAAAACACAGGATGACGACTCATTTAATTTGCATAACAGCAATAGTACTCACCAAGAGAGGGATATAAACCGAAACTTTGATGAAAATGAAATTCCACAAGAGAATGGCAATGCCTCAGTGATTTCTCAACAAATTATTCGGTCTTCAACTTTCCCACAAACTGATGTTCTTTCAAGTTCACTTGAGGCAGAACACAGGTTAGTAAATAATTTTACTATGTTGTCTTCCATTTATTATATTTAGCATTTTTAGAAATACATTGTGTGATTTATTTTTTAATAGACTTATTGAAATAATTTATATATCATAAATTTCACCAATATTAAATGTGCACTTGAGTGTTTTTAATATATTCAGAGTTGGGCACCTATACCACAGTCTTAATTTTAGACCATTTCCATCACTTCAGAAAGAATCTCTCTGCCTATTTACAGTCATTGTTCATTTCTAATCTCTGTCTAAACCACCACCAATCTATTTCATATATATCAGTGCTTTTTATTTGCAACTGGTATAATGCACTGTATGGCTAAGTCACATGTTGACTGTCATAGATGATACTACTGTTACGAACATTCATGTACAAGTTTCATTCATGAACAAGTTGTTCTGTGAACAAAAGGAGTTCTGATGGGATAGTGGCTAAGGCACTTAACTGCTAACCAGAAGGCTGGTGGTTCATACCCACCAGCCGCTCCTCGGAAGGAAGATGGGGCAATCTACTTCCATAGTGATACTGCCTCAGAAACCGAAGGAGGGGTCGCTGTGAGTTAGGCCCGACTTGACGGCACGTAACTAGAAAAACATCTCAAGGTTGGGCACTTGTCTGTTAGTTTGTCAAACTGTGGTGGTTTGCGTTTTGTTGTGAGGCTAGAGGCTTTGCCACCAGTATTTCAGATACCTTGCAGGGTCACCCTTGGTGGCCATATTTCAGCATACCTTCCAGACTAAGACAGACTTGGGAAAAGGAAGGGACCATCCATTTCTCAAAGAATTGGCCAATGAAAACCTTACGAATAGCAGTGAAACACTGCCTGATTTATTACTGGAGAACTTTATGAATAGCTCTGAAACATTGTCGTACATAGTCCCGGAAGATGAGCCCCTCACCCTCCGGTCAGAAGGCACTCAAAATACGACTGGGGAAGAAGAGCTTCCTCTTCAGAGTAGAGTTGACCTTAATGATGAGGATGGAGTAAAGCTTTTGGGACCTTCATTTGCTGATATGGCACAAATCCAAATGGAATAAACAGTTGCAGACATCCGTCAATAATCAGAACATGGAATGTAAGAAATACGAATGTAAGAAAATTGGAAGTTGTCAAAAATGAAATGGAATGCGTAAAAATCGATATCCTAGGCATTATTGAGGCAAAATGGATTGGTTTTGGCCATTTTGAATTAAGACAACCATATAATCTATGCTGGGAATGGCAGATTAAAGAGGAATGGTATGGCATGTGGCACTCATTGTCGCAAAGAGTGTTTCAAGATCTGTCCCTGAAGTACAGTGCTGCCAGTGATAGGGTAATATCCATATGCCTACAAGGAAGACCAATTAGTACTACTATTATTCAAATTTACACTCTAACCACCCAAACCAAAGATGAGTAAATTGAAGATTTTTACCAACTTCTGCAGTCTGAAATTGACCAGGCTTGCAATCAAGATGTCTTGATTATTGCCAGTGTTTGGAATGTAAAAGTTGGAAACAAAGAAGACTCACCAGTAGTTGGAAAATATGGCCTTGGTGATAGAAATGATGCTGGAGATTTCATGATAGAATTTTGCAAGACTAGTAACATTTATTACAAATAACTTTTTTCAACAACATAAATGGTGCCTCTACACGTGGACTTCACCAGACGGAATACACAGGAGATAGATCTACTACATCTGTGGTAAGATGCAATGGAGAAGCTCAGTATCTTCAGCCAAAACAAGGCAAGGAGCTGACTGTGAGACAGACCATCACTTGCTCATATGCAAGTTTAAGCTGAAGCTGAAAAAAATTAAAACAAGCCAGAGACAAAATATAACCTTGATTATATTCCACCTGAGTTTAGAGACCACCTAAAGAATAGATTTGATTCATTGAACACCAATGACCAAAAACCAGGGAAATTATGGGATGACATGAAGAATATCATCCATGAATAAAGCAAAAAGGCATTAAAAAGACGGGAATGGAAGAAAAGACCAAAACGGATGTCAGAAGAGACTCAAACTTGTTCTTGAACAGAGTAATTAAAGCAAATGGAAGAAATGACAAAAGAACTGAACAGAAAATTTCAAAGAGTAGCTTGAGAAGACAAAGTCAATTATTATAAAGACATGGCGTTGGAAAGCCAAAAGGGCAGAACACACTCGACATTTCTCAACCTGAAAGAACTGAAAAAAAAAAAAAAAATTTAAGCCTTGAGTTGCAGTGTTGAAAGATTCTATAGGTAAAATATTGAATGATGGAGGAAACATCAAAAGAAGATGGAAGGAATACACGAAGTCACTATACCCAAAAGAATTGGTTGATGTTCATCCATTTCAGGAGGTGGCATATGATCAAGAACCAGTGGCATTGAAGAAGAAATGCACTGAAGGAATTGACGAAAAATAAGCCTCCAGGCATTGATGGAATACACAATGAGATGGTTCAACAAATGGATGCTGCACTGGAGCCGCTTACTTGTATATGCCAAGAAATTTGCAAGACAGCTTGCCTTGCCAACAGAATGGAAAAGATCCGGATCTGTATCCATTCCAAAGAAAAGTGATCCCACAAAATGTGGCAGTTATCGAATCATATCATTAATTTCACACACAAGTAATATCTTACTGAAAATAATTCAGAAACGGCTGCAGCAGTATATTGACAGGAAACTTCCAGAAATGCAAGCTGAATTCAGAAGAGGATGTGGAATGAGCAGTATCATAGCTGATGTCCGATGGATCTTAGCCAAAAGCAAAAAATGCCAGAAGGATGTTTACTTGTGTTTTATTGACCATGCAAAAGCGTTGAGTTGTGTGGATCATAACAAATTATGGATAACATTGAAAAGAATGGGAATTTCAGAAAACTTCATTGTGCTCAGGAGGAACTTGTTCTTGCACCAAAAGCCTGTGGTTTGAACAAAACAAGGGAATACTGTGTGGTTTAGAAGAAGGAAGGGAGTTCATCAGGATTGTATATTTTCACCATACTTACTCAATCTGTATGTTGAGCAAATAATCCAAGAAGCTGGACTGAATGGATTGGAGGAAGACTCATTAACAACCTGTGATATACAGACGATGCAACTTTGCTTGCTGAAAGTGAAGATGACTGGAAACACTTACTGATGAAGATTAAAGACTATAGTCTGCAGTATGGATTACACCTCAACAAAAAGGAAATTAAAATGTTCATAACTAGACCAATAAGCAGCAACAGTATAAATGAAGAAGAGATTGAAGTTGTCCATGATCTCGTATTACTTGGTTCCACAATTAACACCAGTGGAAGCAGCAGTCAGGATACCAGAAGACATATTACACTGGGCAGGTGTGCTGCAGAAGACCTCTTTGAAGTGCTGAAGAGCAAAGAAGTCTCTTTGAAGACTAAGGTGCTCCTAACCCAGGGCAGAGTGTTTTCAGTCACCTCATAATACATGTGAAAGCTGGACAGTGAAAAAGAAGAGTTGATGCTTTTGAGTTATGGCGTTGATGAAGAATAGTGAAAGTACCATGGACTTTCAGAAGAATGAACAAATCTGTCCTGGAAAAAGTGCAGCTGGAATGCTTCTTGGAAGCCAGAATGGCTGGACTTTGTCTCACCTGTCTCACCTACTTTTGTCATGTTGTCAGATGGGACCATTTTGTGGAGCATATCATGCTTGGTAAAGTGTAGGGTCAGCAAAAAGGGGGAAGGCCTTCAACAAAATGGATTGACACAGTGGCTGCAATAGTTGGCTCAGGTATAGCAAGTATTATGAGGCTGTTGCAGGAGCTGCTATGAGTCAGTTGACTTGATGGCACCTAACAACAACTCAAGGTCACAAACATTCACTTCTATTTTACTGTAATTGTTTTATAGTTTGACTCTTTTTCCATTTAAGACTGTGAATCATTTTGAGTTTTTTTGTATGATGTGAGGAGGGGTGTAACTTTTTTTTTTGTTTTTTAATGGTTTCCGATACATGATTTGTTTTTATTGTAAACTGTCAAGAACACGTTCTACTATCATTTTAGTATTAAATATTTTTTTTAAATAGTAAACTCTTAAATGCTTTCATCCCCAAGTTGAGAGTGGTTAAATTTGAAGTAGGCTTTCATTTTCCTTTTTCGTATGGTTTTGTAGTCGCTGTTAACAGAAATGACTTACTGTAGTGTTGAAACTCTATGATTTCAGCATGAGTGCTTAAAGGATTAATGGAACTCTGCTGAATTTATTTTCAGTAACTAAAGGGTGAGAACTACTAAAACAAAGTGTTTTTAAGAAAGAAATAATTTATGCATTTGTTTGTTAAATATTACTCTAGAATTGCTTTTTGTAAACTGGTGTTTGTACAACTAAAATGTCTTAATATCAGGGAATGGGCTCAGTGCTACATGGTACTTTATTTTTCACATGTTAACTCACCCACATAAATAACATGCATGTGCATATGAAACATGGGAGACTGATGACATGTGGTGGGTTTTTTTGGAGTGGGTGGGAGGGGTGTCCACAGACATGATTTGCACATTTTTTGCATAAACATGAGATACTTGTGAACAGTTCAGATGATTGACTTGACTTTTGGTTTGGATTTATGCCATTTCTAGTTAGAAACTCATCATTTATAGGACAGTGGGAAACTGGGTTGCTCTTTTGAACTTACTTGTTCAACTCTTACTTTTTACTAAGATCTAAGCTCCATGAGGACTGAAATATTTTTTGGATCTCTGGTAGTGTAGTGCTTAAGGTACTTGACTGCTAACCAGAAGGCTGGCATTTCAAACCACCAGCCGCTCCTCGGAAGGAAGGTCGGGCAATCTACTTCCTAGTGATACTGCCTCGGAAACCCAAGGAGGGGTTGCTGAGTAGGGTCTGACTCGACGGCACATAACAACAACAGCAACAACATATCTTTAGCACCTGAAACGGTGCCTGACACTTTACTATGTCCTTCAGTTTTTTGAACAAATAAGTGAAATAACACTTCTAATAACTTTTTTAACT